GATCGTCACCGGCGCACGTTTGTACACTGTCGCTGGACAAATAGGTTACTAGGCACGTCACTACACTGTTTTATTTCATCGATCGTCTGAGTAAAACTTTCAAAATTAAAATAAAAGAGAACATATTTCGACATTCTAAACATTAGACTATAGTGATCACCATAAAATAATTAAAAAAATGACAAATCACAGTTACTAAATAAATGACAGCCGCGTGGAAATAAATTGAAATTTTGTTGAAATAGGTGAACGCGTCGGGTCACGACGAGGGCAAGTGCGTTAAAAGCCTGGATTCTTATTTCATAAATTATTACGCAGATCAAGCTGCAAGCATGGAGGTAAAAAAAGAACAGAGGTGTGAATTCGACATTCAACACCAATCACCAAACGATTCAGAAACTTTTAGCCTTCGAAAATGAAAACAATTAGCAGTGTGTAAGGGCTGTGTAATTTCCTGTTTGTCCGACGCTTCGTTTTCGTGTCACTGTCAAAATTATTGCTACTCTTTACTTAACAGGGACTAAATGGTCTCTATAAAACGATAATCAAGATCGCAAAAACAGTCAACTCATTTGAAACACTTGCCGTCTCTCTCTCTCTTCTGAAATTCGCCTTGGTGATTATGGTCCGGAATCTATTTCTTTCAAAAGTGTTGCGCCAGGTTTATGTTGTCGGCGTTTCTCTTTAAACCTAGTTGCTTTTTTCATGGACAAGGACAGTTTTTCCAAAAAAAAAGAAGCTGAGGTTAAGTGGCTTTCGTCCACTGATGCATGGAAGGTCCATGACTGATGTCACACTTTCGGATCGATTAGAAACGTGTGAATACTTACACTATGACTATACATTTCACTGCAACTGCCCATAACACAACATCTAAAACTCTCTCAAAAAAAAACGCCGTCCGAAAAATGTATATCGTTTAAAAGTATACTGAATGACCAGTGTTATTACGGCTCGGGTATGACTTCCTCTCACATTTTGGCATTTGGTGGCGCACTTTCGACGAGAGTCGGAAATCCGGAAACAGTCGACCGTTTCAGGATAGATGGGCGTGGCTACAACACGAGAAACATCTCAAATTTACTTGGATACGAGTAATCATTTTCAGCAAAAAAATCAATAACTGCCCGTTTCAGTGGGACACAGATCTAAAATGGGAAACGTGAAGGTGGGCATTGCACAGGCACTTTAAGGGTAATCATGCAGGGACTACCGGGGTATGTGATAGTGTTTTTGATACATAGATAAACATAGTGTTGTGATATGAAAAATAAAATTTCTGAAAAAGCTGTGCTACGTATGACATTAATTACTTATTCATACCATTAAAATCCCATCTGTGTAAACAGTTAGTGAGTCACCCCCGCAAAATCTATTTTCAATACCTATTGACACACACCGTATTATTTAGAGCAACCCCCTCAGTTTGAAATGGACTCAACCAATACATGTCCAAGCACACACTCACTCAGTTAATTCATGAAATACGGTGGTCAATAAATATCTATTACCGTGAAAACACATTTCTCGCATATTGACATTTCTATTTACATTTTATTTTTTTTGGTATTTTGTTTCCCATAATTCATCCATATGCATGTTTCATCTTGTTATTTATTCATCCCACTGTATACCACCTATAAGCATGTGTTATGAAAGTGCCATAGTTTCATCATCTGTGCCCACTCCTCGGCTGATGCAATCTTTCATAGTAAAAAGCAGGTCTGTTTCTCATATTTTGGTATTTTCAACCTGAGGTCTCTCTGGCTGGTTGGTATGACTTTTATATTCTCAATATTTTCAAATAGGAGAATTTGATGCATATTTTGGTGTGTGTGTGATCTAAAAGTTGGACCGTGGGAATATCAACTATTTGTTGAAATTGAAGCTAAGAATGTGTTATGATTATTTTTTGGCATATCTTAACTCATGTTTTTTACACAGAAATTATACTGTTAAAGTGTACCTTTTAGTCGTAGTTCATCGTGTTAGAAGGCGTGGTCCGTGTGCAGCTTATGTTCATATTTTGCGTAAAAATACAATATATTTTACATGTGTTGTGTTGCATGGGACCCATATCGGACACGAAGCATCAAAAGTACTTACACTAAAATATTTATTAGATGATTTCATATTTTATGTTTTGTAGATAGATAGCAATGCTATATGGGTTGGTATTGCTTTTGAGTATGCTGTTTGATCGTATTAAGGTGTCAATCTGAGAAAACATTGCATCCCTGAACAAATATAAAAATTACAAAATACATTTGTTGTTGAAATTAATAATTTTAAGTAATGTCATAAACAACAAAGAAAAAATATGAGAAAAATATTTAATTTTTTGTCCAGCTGAAAAAATATTGAGTCCTACTAATAGGAAAATCCTTTTAATGTTTTATTTTTATTTTTTCTTATTATTACTTTTTTCTTGCTTTCATATTGCATGTTTGTATGTGATTAGCTATAATCGGCTTTCTATAATAAATTCACTAACTACTATATATGAATACTAATTAGTATTCTGTCTATTATTCCCACACTTTTCATGAGACTAACCTGGAGGTAAATGTGCAAAAAAAAAAAAAATGATGGGTGGGTACAATAAATAGACAAATTTACATCAATTTAACATCATAAAAAAAAGTAGTTTTGCCGCTGTGAACATTTTACTGAAACTTCAAGACAAGGAATTGTCATCATTTTTCTCACAGTCAATTTCTCATAAAATTGTGGAAATTTTATGTATTGACAGTTTATCACAGTATGTACATGATATAAATAATCCCCACAGTGAAAACTTACAGGGTCATTTATAATTATTTTCATAATTTGTTTTCATATGTTTGACATTTGTTAAAAAAAATTATAAAAAAAAGCCCCCAAAATGTTGATGGTGTACGAAAGGTTAATAAAATGGAACTTCAAATATGCCTAATCAATTTACTTAATTGACTGATTAATTGATAAATTAATAAACATTGGTGTCTCATGATTCCCTGCTGCAATCCCAGGGATTGACAGCTTTCCCTTTAAAATAAAATTGGTTGTCAGAGTAATTAATAAATACTGATTTAGGAAACCCTAAATAAACATGTCTAATTATTTGCATTTACTTCATTACAGGTGATTGATGCTGTGAAATCGTTGAGAGAACAAGCAGGTAAGAGAACATATCTGAATGTGTGAAACCCTATCTGAGGAATATATGGGATCCCATCCAAATATTTGGGAACCCATCAGAATATGTGGAAACCCATCAGAATATGTGGGAACCCATCAGAGTATATGAGAATCCATCAGAGTATGTGGAAACCCATCAGAATATGTGGGAACCCATCAAAGTATGTGGAAACCCATCAGAGTATGTGGGAACACATCAGAATATATGGGAATCCATCAGAGTGTGTGGAAACCCATCAGAGTATGTGGAAACCCATCAGAGTATATGAGAATCCATAAGAGTATGTGGGAACCCATCAGAATATATGGGAATCCATCAGAGTATGTGGAAACCCATCAGAGTATATGAGAATCCATCAGAGT